AATAGGAATACTATCAAACATTCTAGTAACTAGTGCCGTCTAGTGTGGAAGCACATTGCGCAGTTGAGTTTGAGCACTATCGTTCAACCGGATAAATATATGTCGTCCGTCTTTTTGAATACTTCCTGAAATTTGTATTCTATTTACGGGCGAGCACAGACTAAAACATGTAGTTGCAACGTTCGCCACCTTTGGGCGTTCTTATGGTAACGATGTAAACATAGACTCGAACTGAGCACAATGGTTACATTTAATACATTTTATCAACATGAAAATTACAACTTTTATGTTACCTTCTTATTGCAACATATGTTACAAATTACAGTTATTGCTTTATTTAAAACAAAGAAGATGACAACAATTACCACAAATAGAAAGACTGCAATGTCAATCAGAAAATATTCGATGAAACTCAGATTGAAAGCTTCAGCCCCGAGGTGTTGGCCGTCATGTTTGATGACAAATCCAATCCAGAATACAACAGTGTCACTTGCTGACATGGGTTTGTCTTTGTGTATAGCTGATATCTTTTTCGCATTCTCGTTATAACTAGAATAGTAAATGCATAACTTATGGCTTCAAAGCGAATTAATATACTAATAATGGCAAAAAAGCAAAGCATTAATATTTCACGTGTTACTGAAAGTATAATTTTGTTCGTGTTGATCATAGTTAGTTTGTTAATTAGTTAAATTTCTTTTTTTAGGCTTAAATTATATACAACTGATACAAAAACAGTTTCGCATGATGTGGCAGCTGTGAGCGTGAATTGTCATAGTTTCCTTCATGTGCAGTGCATGATATATTCTATTTACCTGGGAGTGTTAATAACTTTAATAACAGCATCATAGAGTTCATCTGATGTCAGCGTGCTAATATTTAGGATAACTGCCATGCCTTTACTAGATACTCTGCTGAAAGTATCATAATGATCACCATACAAAGGAAATCCAACAATTGGAACAGCATGATATATAGCTTCGTATACACCATTCATGCCGCCATGAGTTACTAAAGCTTTGGTGTTAGGGTGACCTATGAATTAGAATAAATACAATCAATGCAACTGCTTATGTGTAAAGAGTTATTAGCCCCCACCCGGACAAAGTCCAGGAGGGGGCTTGCAGTTTCGCCTCCGTCAGTCAGTCCGTCCGGAGTAATTTCTCGGAGATGGCTTGACCGATTTTTTTGAAACTTGGTACATAGACATGATATATTGAAGATAATATTTGGTAATCGTAGTCCTAAATAACTATTAAAAATAGCTAGACGTTTCGAGAAATCCACCATGGTTTCAAAAGCAACCTGGCACTCTGGTGTCCAATTAAAATCTGGTGCCTTTTGTCTCACTAGGCGGCCGTTCTTGCCACGTTTCTTAGTGTACAATCCGATCGTAAGGTCGTTGAGCGGACGGGCAATCTTCGAAAAACCTTCAACGAACCGTCTGTAGTAGCCAGCCACGCCGAGGAATGTCTTAACGTCCTTGGCATTGCGTGGTACAGGCCAATTCCTGATAGCCTCAGTCTTATCAGGGTTCGTCTTTACACCATCTTCGGATATGATGTGCCCTAGATAGTGAACTTCCCGTCTGAAGAATTCGCATTTTGATGCTTTCACTTTCAAATTATTCTTTCTCAGCCGTTTCAAGACTTCGTCGACTCGTCGATGATGTTC